TAATTTGCTATTAAACTCCATACTTAGGTTCTATTAAACTGTAATGAGCAAAAAACACAAACGAAAATAAAAGAAATGTTTTAGCGAAATTTACATCTGACATTTACGTCTGAATAAAATAGTGAAATACTTGATGCGCAGAGTGTACTTTCATTGCGTAAATCCGTCGGCCCCGCCAACCGATGCCTCTCAGTAGTGCTTTCTCTGTCTAGCCGTCGAAAGCCTCTAGAAATTTGATGAACTGTAATTGTACATGGTCCGACCAGTTCAAGTGGCTTTAATTTTAACGACTAAAAAATTTAGAGACCAATTGATTAAGTTGTGCACACAGGCAAATGCTTTCAAGAGAGATAAAAACACCTATAGTGCAAGTTTACCTTTATTCTAAGTAGTAGCAGATTTAAAGTTTTTGAAATCCATGTTGGTTATTAACAATAATAATGTTTGAATTCAAAAATGAATTCAATCTTCTAGATATAGCTATTTCAAATATCTTTAAAAAAGAAAATTAATTAGTATATAATTTCTTACAAGTAATGGATCATCTCTTTTGAAAAGAGGCGTTATTACTATTACAAAAATTATCTCCGAACGAAACTATATTATTACTATTATCTATTTTTTTGTTGGAGGTCTCTTACTGCATACCGAAAGAAATAAACTAGCGTGAGCGTTGATCGTAAAAACGCTAATAGCCCCGACTTACGATCGTATATCAATTTCAAATTGTTGAAAATATCAGTTAGAGTTAAGATAGCGTTGGAAAAAGGTGGATTTCATTTGTCAATTTCAAAGTATTACCACTTTTAAAGATAAACAAAATTTGTATAGTCTTCAAATTAAGATGGCATCGTGCTAGAAGTTAGATATATCCTGTTTGCGTATCAAAAAACTCGTAAAGTAAATTGAAAAGTGTTACATTTGAGATAATATTGTTGACTGTTTTGTAAGATATGAGGCTGAGAGCTTAATTGAGACGTTGTTGAAACTGGTGTGTTTGCGTGTGGGCGGTTTTCGAGTTTTTGTGATATAGGGAAATATCAGTTTTGAAAACGATTATTTTTCTGTTTCTTTTGATGTATATTCTTCTTGAAATACAAATATTTTCGATTTACAAGATGGCATCAAATACTGACGATACACAGTGGGCCAGAGTCACCCTAGAATGTTGAAAACAGACAATTTTTAATTTATTTTTTCTCGTTAATATTTTTATAGATATTTTTCGTTCGAATCGTCTACTTTGATAGTTTGTACAAGGAATTACAGTAGTTTTCATTAAGAGCAAACCGAACACCTTGAAAAATTTTAAAAGCATTTTATGACTTTATTTTTAGTCCGATTTTTGTGAAATTTTTAAGAAGTACTAACAATTACCAAACTTAGGGTGGAGAAACCTTGATTTTTTTTTAAAACCATCGATAAATATTTATTTTGTTAATTTTTAAACGGAAAATTAAAAAAAAGAAGTTTCCGCGCCATTCAGTATTAAATCTATGAAAAGTTGCTGCTTTTGTTTTAATAAATATCAAGTAGTTTTTAAATAAAAATGCTTTCCTACCTGTTCCTGAAATGTATCTGCAGAGTGCTGCCATATCTTGCTCCCAAAACAATACTTCTTATGAATAAAAAGGCCGCAACTTTTCACTTGCATCTTTGTAGTGGCACAAAAATCTGCTATGTCATACGTTTCATGAACTTTGCCGTATTTTATATATATAACCTTTGCTGTAAACTTAAAATATAAGAAGGATTTTATTATTGGAAGTTGTCGTGTTAAGTTTACATAATTTTCCAAAATTGGATGCAGTTATGAGTAATTTTCTTTCCTCCATCCAAATAGATGTTGATTTTTGTAAACGTGTCTTTTTCTTTAACTCTATAATTTGTTCATCTGTTAATTTTAGTTTTGCTAATATTAAATTTTCCGCTTCGACGTATTCTTTTTGTTCAGGTTGTTCTAGAAAACCATCTTTTTGTTTTTTCTAAATTCATGACGCCTTTGTTTTTTATATGCAGACATTTTAGCATATGCTTTTTTTTTTCTTTATTTTTCAGTGTACTTTTGTGTAATAGCCTAGTTTATGTCTACATGGAGTATTAAAGTAATCTGTACCTACCTAAGATCCTCGACGCGAATAATGAATTCTTTTACCTCTAACAAATTTGCATATGATAGAGTTAAAACTGCTCTGCTAAATTGTTGTACGTATTGAAAAACAAACTGTTTAAACGGAAAGTATTAATGTCAGATCATAAATAGTGCAAAATATAAAAACACTTATCTATATATGTAATAAACTATTTAAAATCGGTTAAAGCATTTTTTAAAAAGTAATAAAAAATTTAACACTATGTATCTTGAAAAAAATAATAATAAAACATTCCGTATATTATATAGAATCCTCTACGAAAGTTTACTTGAAATAACTATTTTCATTTATGTCTTCATTATGTTTTCTCACTCTACGATACAAAATTACCTACTTCAGCATTTAATTAAGAAGTAACCATTACTATCCCAATAAAATGTAAATAACGACCGGGTATATATTCAAAAAAGATGCGAGAAATCAAGAAATAACTATAACAAATTGAAATTAAGCTCCAACTAATGTCTACATCTTTCCCAAACACATCTCCTGACATCCCAACAAATTTATTTCTTAATAACCGTGGACAGATATACGAAATTTCCCAAAGAATTAACTGTTTCCAATTAAATCCGGAAATTTATTTTTTCCTTAACGTTACGAAACAAATTAAAACAAAAAAGTAAAAAACATTTCGATTTTTTACGGTCGGAAACATTGGTCGATTCGTTGTCTGTCAAATCTTCTGTATCGTAAGTTTTAAACATGATAATGATCGGAAGATCTTGTTTGGATACATCGGCATTTTTCTTCAAATATATCTGATCGAAAGAGATTTTTAAGGATATGATTAACCAAGTGCGAGTCGAATAATGTTTCGTACAGTAGGTAGTTGTTGATACTAATTATGTTCATAGATTTAATCACACAGTCGAGTGAGTTTCGATCCTGTTAACTGGATCGAAACCTAGGGGACCCACTCACTTCACTCCTCTGAATGATCTTTTATATCAATATCAATTGATTTGTATGCTATGCTATCTAAGAGGACATTAAGGATGACAAATCATTATTTAAACAGAGTGTTGCTGAAGGCTTGCTCCTGTTATGTCAACTGTTTGTATATATTTATTGTGTGCGCATTCTGTTGTCTCTAATGTCTTGTAAAAGTTATTTTAGTCTCCTAATTAGATGACTAAGGGACCTTCTCCAATCAAGCGGGTAGTCATCTCTTATGCAGCCTGTATCTGTTTCGCGATTGTCATTATTTTAAAAGAAGATGAATGATAATCTGAAAAGTAGTCAAATTTTTGAATTTTCCTTCATTTTTCACCATAATCTAGCACTTTGTGTAGTCTGGCGTGTCTTCTGTTAATCATATTTCTCGTATTCGGTAAGATTCCTAAAGCCTCCTTTAGACGGAGATCATAGTGACGGCCAGTAACGGCGACTAGAAGTGGCAGTGGTCGAGTGAAATTACCGAATAGTAGAACAGTAAAGGCTTCTATTCAAAAGTTCTAGAGGCAACCAGTTGCTAGTTTGTTTGAAATGAAAATGATACATAAGTAGTACCTCCCTCTCTAGCTACTGCTAGGTCGTCATCCATTACACCTTGTGGTGGAAAAGGAGGCTATGACGCCGACATATAGACTGTTCATTAATGCATTTAGATATGAACTTTCGAGAAAAGGACAGCACACAATGAAATTAAAACAAAATATGTCATTTTTGTAATTTTTGATATTAAAATATCAAAAAGCCTAGGAAATAGGGAAATACAAAACGAATCTATCTATTATACAGACAGTTCGAAAATATCAGGAGCTGGGATTTACCATGTGATCTCTAGGAGGACAATTAGTCTGAACCTAGCGTCACTAACAACAGTCTTCCAGGCTGAAATAACAGTCTTCCAGACTACCCATAAAGTACTAAAAAGGGTAGAAGTACAATCTAAGATAATATTTGATTGCCAACTGTCTCTCCAGGCCCTGGCAGAACATAATCAGGTCACTTTTTAAATAGGTGCCGGGACATGAGACATGAGGGAGTGTTTTAAAACGAGAAAGCAGATCTAGCCAAGAAGGAAGCAGAAAAAACTCTAATTGAACCAAAACTCAAATGTGGTATTTCATTTCAACATTTTCAACATGTTAAATGGGTGCTAATGGAACATATAAATAGGGCTCTGATTGGAACTTCCTGGACGTAGACAGTACAAAATATTCATAGAGGGTCCATCCAAGAGCAGACAAAAGCAAACTAAAGGTCGTAATAAGACTCTGTATGGGATACTGCGTCCTTAGAAAACACGTATATCTCTTAGGGATACCTGATGACTCTCTTTATTGAATATGTAAGGAGGAACTCCTATTCACATACTATGCCACTGTCTGAATCTTAAATGGGAACGAGAATGGCACTTTGGGGTACAATATCCACAAACTAAAGGCCGTAATAGGACTCTTTATGGGACACTGCAGCCTAAGAAGACACCTAAATCCGTTAAGGATTCATTAGTATTGAATATGTGAAGAGGAACTCATATTCACATACTATGCTACTGTCGGAATCTTAAAAGTTAACGGGATACTTCGGGATATAATATCCGGAACCTGAATAAATCGCAAAAGCGCCCATCAGACATATTCTTGAATTCATCAAGAAACTTAGTGGCAGTCAGTGTCCAACTAGACGTTGATGCGGAAGTACCTCGGTATACAGGTCAGTAAAGGGATAATAATAACTAGTAGCCACTATTTTCTAGTGCCACTGTCCCCGTCTGCAGAGGGCTTTAGCTCTTCGTTGGGATAAAGTCTCACATGGTCAAATGTATCTGCGGCTTTCAGGTAAATTAGGTCTAGAGCACTGGTGGGTTCCAGGTCCTTAAATATGATGTCGTTATAAATGTACCTGTTAGATGTTTCGTTAGATGTTTCGTTAGATGTTTCGTTGGTTGTTTCGTTAGATGTTTCGTTAGATGTTTTGTTAGATGTTTCGTTAGATGATTCGTTAGATGTTTCGTTAGATGTTTCGTTAGATGTTTCGTTAGATGATTCGTTAGATGTTTCGTTAGATGTTTCGTTAGATGATTCGTTAGATGTTTCGTTAGATGTTTCGTTAGATGTTTCGTTAGATGTTTCGTTAGATGTTTCGTTAGATGTTTCGTTAGATATTTCGTTAGATGTTTCGTTAGATGTTTCGTTAGATGTTTCGTTAGATGTTTCGTTAGATGTTTCGTTAGATGTATCGTTAGATGTATCGTTAGATGTATCGTTAGATGTTTCGTTAGATGTTTCGTTAGATATTTGGCATGTCGTGTCAATTTTTTAATCACGGTTTGTGTTTCTAAAATTCCAAACTTGATAATTAAATGAAATCTAGCTTATTTAATCTAGATTTAACCAAATTTTAGCGTGTTGAATATCTGATAATACAATTTTATAATTGCGGAAAGCATTTAAAAAATCTAATGTGTCCAACACATGACTTTCCTATCTAGTTATTATAGGCATTTTCCGGTTATTTTGTACAACCTATTGCAGCATCTCTATAAATGTTTAGAGGATAAACTAAATATATACATTTTCCACATACATCTACCTCGAAACATTTTTCTATAGATATTCATTGAAAACGAAAATACAGAAAAATTTAAATTTAGCACTTTTCCATTACGGTCCATTTTAGAAAAATCATATATAAACAAAAATTATATAAATCGATATCGCAAACAACTTTTAGTTCAACAATTTTCATAAAAATCAGAATTTTGCACATTTTGTCAAATTTCTCGAATACGGACCATTTCAGGAAATTTTGACATAGAACAAAAATTATAGATAATAATATTAGAAGTAACTTTTATTTGAACAATTTTCTTCTCCAAACATAAATAACAGATATATTCCATAAAATATAAAAACGGCCTCCCATAAAGTACCCCCCCAGATGTTCCGACTTTGTCCAAAATCTAATCATTTCACGTCAGGCCGAAATAAACCTTAAGTTTAAAATTTAATGTTTTTTCCTTTATCCGTTTTTGAGTTTTCAAATTTCGAAATTTACACATTTTCTCAAATATCTCGAATACGGTCCATTTTAGAGAAATTATGTCTGGGACAAAAATTATAGAAAATTATATTACAAACAACTTTTATTTGAACAATTTTTATAAAAAATTATTTTTTTTACATTTTCTCAAATTTCTCGAATACGGACCATTTTAGGAAAATTTTGCATAAAACAAAAATTATAGATAATTATATTAGAAGTAACTTCTATTTGAAGAATTTTCTTCTCCAAACGTAAATAACAGATATATTCCATAAAATATAAAAATGACCACCTATAAAGTACCCCCCAGATGTTCCGACTTTGCCCAAAATCTAATCAGCTTATTGGACGCTGAAACAAAGCTTAAGTTTAAAATTTGGTGTTTTTTTGTGTATCGGTTCATGAGTTATGCGTTATACAGACACACACACACACACAGACACACACACACACACAGACACACACACACACACACACAGACAGACAGACATCATCGCGAAAATAGTCAAAACGGATTCAGGGGACCTCAAAACGTAAAAATCCGTCGAAAACTCGAGGTCGAAAAAAATCATGATTCCTATACTTTCCTTATATCTGTATACAGATAGGAAAGTAAAAATTGAAACATGTCAAAATTTTCCATTAAAAAAAATGGTTTAATTATTGTAGATAGATTAATCTTTGCACCTATTTTAATATTTTAGATGATGTTAAAGACTACAAAGATGCCTTTATTCAAACAGAAAAAGGTAAATGCTATTAAAATATACATAGAAATGTAAAAAAAATGTAAATAGGCACCAAGGGTAGTGCTGGCACTATAAAAGGTTTACCGAAATTTGGTGATTTACATGTTTATAGAGTAGATTACTGATGTAAAAACTATGGAACATTTGCCGAAGTCTCATTTCCCTGTATCCACATATCTTTATCTTAATGATGTTTTTATTTCACAAAAGAAAATAATTCGATGAATTGCTGGTAATTCTCGAACAACCAGTTGTGGAGAATATTTTTAAAAAATTTGAAATTTTACCATTACTTTGTATTTTTAGAAGTTTGTGTATTTGTATTTAGTAATTTAAATAGTTTTATGACAAACGACAAAGTTCATGATTTAAATGCAAGAAATGTACCATTTTCAAAGAGTAATACCTTATTCAAATCATTCATTATATCTGGGCAACGCCTTTTCAATAATTTTCCTCCTCACTTTAAATCTTGTAAAACCTTTTACATAAGGGTGGCTTCTATTCCGTAAGTGAATTTTTAAATGCCTAAATCTTTTAAAATTTTTAATTATTTTCTCTTTAGTTGGGTTGTTCAGTTTAAGTTAAAGATTGTATTTTAAATATTGAATAATTCCAAACGAATTATACTTGTCATAAAATAAATATTATATTATAAAAATGACCAATTCTTACATTGTATTTAAACTTTAATGTTTAATCTTAAATTGTCTTATGAATGTATTTATATTTATAATTTCACTAATTTTATACAAACTATGTTTGTCATAAAGAAAATAAAGCTTTATTATTATTATTATGTTGGATGTCTCACGCTAGAACGGCCAACACCTATTCACCCATTCAAAACTACGTATAGTTTTTCAAAAAAACTGTACCATTTTAAAATTTTCTATAATCGTTTCTCAGAAATATTTAACAGATAATTTAAGATCAACTCTTTTCAAGCGATTCACAGAATAATACGAAGCCGATCCGATTGTGAATGAATATTATGCTACTTAGTTCATTAATTTTTTTTTGTTGACTCAAGTAAAATTGAATCGTGGGAAACGGACCTCTCGATGTCCATAAAATAACGTATTCAAATTCGAATAAAAAAAGAGAAGTGCCTACTCGGCTCTATGAAAAGGAAACAACAATTACGATTGATTCGTTTTTTCGGTCGAGTTTATTTATACCGAACGGTGTAACAAAGAATTACATTCGTGTAAATAAATGGAATTTTTGGGAAAATATCTTTTAGGCCCGAATCAAACACAATTAAAGTCAAAAAAAGGATAACGACAGTGTACAAGTACAAATAAGATTATCCCTTAAATAACAATAAAACGAAGAAACGCGTTAAAAAAAACAAGTACAGCGTACAGGGCCTGACTTAGGGCTGTTAAAGGCCTTTTAAAAAGACTAATTTTTCATTCAAATAACAAAATAGAATAAGGAACAATAATTCACTACAACTATTAAATAATTATCTGTCAATAAATACACAGAGTGTAAGACATTTAGGTACTTACAGTAAAAACAAGATGTAGTGTGCCTCAAGGTATCGTCTAGGGACCCAATTTATTTTACATATATATAAATTGACTATTTGTCATCAAATCTCAAGGAGATAAATTAGGCTTTGCTAATAATACAGTAAATAATGTTTCATTGTTTAAAAATCCTTCCTCCCTGGTTAAATGTTCTTATTAGTTGTATGTACTAAATTTATTTATTTATTAGTTTCGGAAGTAAACTTTATTTAAACATAACGGAGATGTAGACTTAAGCCCTTCTGATATTCGGCGTGAAAAATAGGAAAAAAAATGGATATCCCATTGACACATTCACAAAGACAGTTACAACAACATAACAACACTACAATAAAAAAACATGTTAAAATTAAGGTATCACATCACCTTTTATAGTGGATAACCCCAAAATTTTATTTAACTCCATAGTATGGTGAGACAAAACCCAAATTCCCAAATTAAAGTCATCAACGACAATAATGTTAAAATTAACGTTCTGGGAGTACCAGAATATAGTTGTTACTCGTATGAGGATAAACAGAATAGACCAATTAAAGTAATGGCATATAAACTGCACCACTCTTGCTAACCAGAAAGTGTACTCAGGATTTGAAAAGCCGTGGCTTTAACATTATAGCAGTGACTCCAAAACTAATATATAGGTCTAAACAACCATTGAATATGTTTATGCTTATATTTCAGAAATAGTACCACTCAGAAAATTTAAGCTAGTACCTCAAGCATTCGGAAACACTCAAAGATACTGCATTATATAAAGTGCCTCGATGTGTAAGATGCATAGGTAAATATTTAACTGTAAATTGTGTATTACCGAAAGAAGCTCCACCTTAATGCGTTCTGATAGCTACAGAAAATGTGAAGGAGCCAGGAAAATGCAAATCAGAAATAATAGCACAGCAAAAAAACAAAACTTACCTAAACAGTCACAGCGAGTAATCCAACATAAACCTGTTAATAGAATCGAATAGGCCAACGTAGACTATTCAGCTAGACGCTATCTGGTAAAAAGATAAATAAAGATTCATCCATTATCAATACTCTCCACCAACTATTTGAAAAGCTGAACATAATGGATGAACGAAATACTAGTTTAGAATATAGTACCAAAGAAACAATATAATGAGTTACAGCTTAAATAATATAGGACTGGAATTCCAATGGATTGCAAGCATTCCTAGATATAGAAAACATAGACATATGCTTAATTTCATATACTCACTTTACCAATGAGTCCTTTATTAAATTTAATGAATATAATGCAGCAAGAGGGGTAGCGAAGTAAGAATTAGAGAAGCAGTTAAGCATTGTAAGGAAGCGGGATATGGGACTGAAGAATTTTAGGCTACCTCAGTAATGATAAAATCTAAAACTTATGAGATTATGGTTACTTCTAGATTTTGTCCTTCAAGATATACCGTTAAAAAAGAAAGCGTTACCTTAATATGTAAACCTTCTAACTCTATATGTAATAATTTTACAAGATAAGCAAAAAACCGTCTCATTTAGATATTAGAAGAAACAAAATAATTAGATCATTAGGTCTTTATTTAAAAACATTCTCTTGCATAAATAAGTCCTCAAACCAATTTGGATACATGGTATTCAGCTCTGGGGTTGTTCAGCAACATTTTCGATGCTCCTTGATACATTAAAAACAGCTACCTTCGTCAAGACCTTTAGATGGACACTATTGACCAAACTATCATCAGATTCGCTAAGAGTCCCGAACAATGGCTCCACTTACATGTAAACGTTGAGGCGATCTAGTTCTTGTCAAGACGAACCTGATAAGAAGACTCAAGAGAGTAAAACTTTTAAGTTAACCAAGCGATTGTGTTAATAACAAAGCAAAGCATTGTGCGGTTTATTATTACACGTTGTTTAGTGTAAGCAAGTTATCAGACCTTGAGGTACCTATATTAGGGAGTTTAAATTTAGTTTTTTAGATTGCAATCTTGGTTATGTTGGAACATTACTCATTGATCAACTT